CTTGCGTTCTGCATTAGAATGGTAACGAGAGGAAAGTTAAAATCCCTTTCTTCTTTGTCTATGTTGCGCATAAGATCTCACTATTGGGTTCCCGTGTTCTCAGCAAAATACCAAACACGTTTTTAAATATTAGACAACATCGCATACGTTGCTCCGATACCACAGTAACAACTAAAGCACTTGTCTTTAAATTTTTATCGAATTGATATTCAATTACTTTTTGTGAAATTACTCCTCTGGTTTCTTATAATTATTAATACAAAGATCGAACATTTAGAAAAAATTCCTTCGATCCGGCCGGATTCGAACCGACGTCTTCTAGCAAACCGTCTCAGATAGTATTGCCAACTAAGCTTAGTTGGCAAAGCATAAGCTTAGATGGAATCCGGCCGGATCGAAGGAATTTTTTCTAAGTGTTCGATCTTTGTATTAACAAGTATAATAAAGCACTTGTGTTATGGAAATCCGAAACAACGATCGATCACAAACACCAAGTCCCAAGACAATATAGAAAAGCTGGTTTTCTACATTGACCCGGCCAGTGATCGAACACGGGACCTCAGAGATGGTAACACTATGAAAACCGGTGGATAAGCCACTCGACTAACGAAAGTCGCCAATAAATAAACAAAAGCGACGAACCGCATTACCGCCACTTTTTTGTCGGTGCAAGTCCGACATAGCCCTTTCCTGCCCCAGGTGGAATATATCGATGATCCACTTTCCAACAGGTAGACAATCTACAATTTGGACCACATAAAAATATATATCCAAACGTTATGTATATAGGTGTCCAAACTTTTTTCTCTGGCAGAACACATTCGTAGACCCGTGCATTTTTAATATTGATGTTTTACAAATTCACAACAAATGTGTGTTTGACAGCAGATACAGAAGGATACAGTGCTAGAGACTAACTTAATTTAAAAAATGATATTAAGTTTTTTATATTTGTTTAAACGAATATCTTGTTTATTGTGAAATGTTTAAAAAGTTTGTAAGTAATTTACATGTCTATTATAAAAAACTATTTTGTATTAACTTTATTTAATTTATGTGTATCATGCCATTTATGGCAGCTAAAAGTTTGGTCCCGACCTGCCTACATGGGTTCCACTCTCGTGGACCCCCATTAATGTCACACACCCTCGCTCCCGCCCCACTTTATTCGCTGACACCGACCTCTTCTAGGTTGGAGTGGACTCCTGGGGATCGATATAGACCAGCATGGGAATCATCGATCTAGAGTCATGTTATTATTACTGTTAATGTTATCATTTCGTATCTACGAGTATCTGTAAGCTGTGGTTACCATTTTCCGTCACGTGGTTCGGCTGATTGTGTGCCAAAAGTAATTCATAGCCATTACTAATGCCATACAGTATTTACATACGTCAACAGTACATCAGGCTATACACTTTTGTTCGAATATCGCCCCCAGTAGGTACTTAATGTGCTGCTGTCTGTACTATCACAAAAGCTGAATAATCTATAACACCTAGAAGCCATTAGTGAAGACAGCGCTATAAGATTAATAACATGACTCAAGACCTTGTCACAAGAACAACTGGACCGGAAAATACAGACCACACTGTCATAAAAAACATAACAAAAAATATATAGTTTTTCGGACCACAAATACGAATAACGTACACTAATCTGTCAAGTTTATTGTATGTTTTTTTGGTAATACAAAATGCCATAGGGTTACTTCGTCATTTATTTTTTTTTTTTAATGCTATTTGTGTATACTTTGATCTATACGTATTTCTTGCACAACTGTAAAGTTTTTTGGAATTTTTAGTTAAAAGTCATAATCCGTATGATTGTTCTGTATAAGGATATGCATAGTGCACTGAATGAAATGAATGAATTCATATATAAAATTTGTAAATTATAAAATAAATTATTATAATTTGTTATTATTATTTAATTAAAACTTTTTAATAAAAAAACCGGCCTCAAAAGTTTGTTTATCCGCTTTTGCTGGATTCGTTACATTTATTTATTAAGTTGTACTGAAATCAGTTAAAAAAAATTGGGTGACATCTAATAAATCGGTTTCATCCCCCAAATTTGCCACCCTTAAAGGTGGAATATTTTCTTTAAATTTGAATGATACCCTCTTATCAACAAAAATAATCATCGAAATCGGTGAACAAAATATCGGAAAAATCGCCTATGTGTGTGTATGTTACACACGCAAAAAAACAGTTGAGAACCTCCTCCTTTTTTGAAATCGGTTAAAACTATTATTTTTTACAAATATTAAAATAAAATACCATTTTGTTGTACAGAACAACAAAAATATTTTATACTTATTTGGTTTTTCTAATAAAAAAAGTTTATTTTGCAGTTTTTTGCATCATTTGTTTACCTACGTGTAAACAATCAATCAAAATTAACTCTGCATTAAATTTAAAACCACAAATAAATACACTAAATAAATCTCAATGTAAGTAATAGCTGTTAGTAAATCAATAAACTACAGTAACTAAATTTGGTTCCAGCTAAAATTTTCAACGTCTATTGCGGTACGGTCGAAATCTCGAAGTTTGTTACTTATAATCAATCGTCTTTATTTGTAACAATAAATAAGTCCGTTGTTACCAATAATAAAAAAATCCCAAGTTCTTCTTAATAATTAGATACTATTGGTTGCTTGAATGGAAGTCATTTAAAACTAGCAAATGAGTTACTTGCTATTTTTCAGCTCAAGCAAAAAGTGCGGCGTTCACAATTAAATCTATAAATAGTAAATCAACTGAGCTACACATCCGTCACTACACATTATTCGTGTGACTCATCTACAACGTTGAAGATTTTATCATTTAATTTAATTACTAAGCAAGTGATTGATAGCCTTAGTTACCACCACAGCACAATTCAGTCTATTCGAGTCATATGTACTTTAGTTTATAAAGAAAACATCACGATGTGAAGCAATCTTGGAGAACGTACCTAAACCTTAGAAGTCATTTTTTATGATACTAGGCGACCAGACGAACAAGTCGTGTACTTGGTAGTAAGCGACACGTCTGTCCATTTAAATCGCAAAGATCTGAGAGGTACTGCCACTAGGCCCGAAGCTCTGAGACATAAGTTGATAAACGTATCAGCACATGGAACGCCATGTGCTTTTAATTTCACGTCACATCACTCGAGCCTTCTCTAAGGCCCGGCGCCCACTGTCGGGACGGCTCGGTAGAGGATTTTTAGGTGACGTAAGATAATATACCTTAAAGTTATGGCATTGTAGTGGAAAATATAATGGTAATGGCCGTAGCTACAAAACAAAGCTGCGTCATGGTTAAGGATATGGAACGGGCTACCTCCGGAATGCCTCGGCAGCCTTTGGGATGCTTCGGCAGGCTTCAGGACGCTGAGTTGACTATACGGGTATGCGGGGCGGACGGAGGCAGCGATCTGGGGCCTACCACAACCTCTTAAAACATTAATACTTTAAGCTTACATTGACTTTTCGTACCATAACGCGCTTAAGGTAAGCTTATTGTAATGATGTTTTATTGGCTCAGTTCGTACTATGACGCGACTTTAACATTAAAGTAATATTGCTCTTATGTCAAATTTAGCAATCTTAAAATAGTTACACGGATTCAATGGAAACAATATTATTTTCAGTTTTATTATCTTAATATTGAGTTAAATGAGTAAAAGTTAAGTTGAACTTATTTATTTACATATATCTTCAGTGTTTTGTTTATTTTTTATTCAATAGCACATAGGAATTAATTTCTCGTTAAATAAAAATACGCGACGTTTATTTCCTAAAATTATGACAGCGCCATCTATACGCTCCTTGGCGAAACTAACAGTTGACACTAGACTATAGTTCCGAATTCACAACGTGACTATCAAGACTCAGCTTGTTTTATTAATTTTTCTTCATGAAAATGCAGAATAATTAATTTTAATAGATTTTATTATTATTACTTTTCTTTTTTTAACAGTCAAAATTTACTGAATGTAAATAACATTAAGTACTTAAACATTACACTACGATAACACGATTCGGAACATCAAAAAAGAAAGAGATGGCATTATATAGTTCACATAGCGTTATCTCTTTCCTATTTTTAGTAAGGAATAGACAATATTGGGAAATCATTCGTTCTTTCAATCACTTTTGCATAGAGGTGGGCGTTTCAACTAAAAGCACTTAAAAAGTCTGCGTTTTTAAAATAAACGCATAAACAAGCTTTTCATTTTAAGCGTAAGCGTTGGTCTATGCGCTTAAAATTTTTCTAAACGGCTTTTTAAGCGTGTGAAAAGCGCTTTTACAAGCACGCTTTTAATAATACATTACTTGGTTGAATTCGCTCTGGACCTTTTGGAGGGAAAAGTGTCGTTTTTAATATTACTTTCAATTATTTTGTGAAATCTAGTTTAAAGCGGAATAGGACAGTGCTATTGTGCCTTAATCGAAGATTAAAACGCGAAATTATAAGAATCTCGAACCAAAAGTCCCGTATCGGCCCATTTTAAGGAATCCCGAGTCAATCCAAGCACGCCGCCTCAAATTGCCTATCCTCTTTGTGGTGGCCATGTTTACAGGAACATAATTAAACGAAGACATGGCTCAAAGGACTTGTATCCAAGCCAAAATTATTAATAAAAAAAAATTCTTGGTTGACAGTTTCGTCATGGTACGAATATGAGTAATATTATAATAAGCTTACTTTATGCTTACATTGAAATAAGATTGTTTTTGGAAAAAATATGGTAGGTGCAGAGAGGCCAGATGTTAGCACGATGTCAGAATGCTTAAGCATTCTTAATCGCGGCATAATTGTCGTCAGTGCGCGTTTGCATGTAGGGATGCCGAAGAATCCCCTGCCGAGCCTTCCCGCCAGTATATAATATAGTCGCAAATACCTGTAATTTCACCAGCACTATTACCCTTTAAAACCGGAACACAGTAATGCTGACATTAGGTACGACTTGGCGGCAGAAAAAGGTAAGGTGGTTGTTATACTTACCTGGATAAACTCTTTCACAAGGAGTTCTACTGCTATGAAATCCTCGATGCGCGTTGGGTCACTGTGGTGAAAGATTTAACATTGTAATGATTTTTATTTTGATGTTTGTTTTTTTTTAATAAATAGCTTAAAAATTAATTTCATAACAGTATAACTAGCATAATTTTACGTTCTTCTTCTCGTATCGATGGCATACACTATGCCTGCTACCGTGGTGAAAGGTTGTGGTAATAATTGTAAGGTACTGGCCGTTTGTTATTCAGGGTGCACCAGACGTACAGGAAACTTGGCTACTCTAGCATCAAATACAGACTGCTACTTAAATACAATAATTACCTACTATTATCAGACATTGTGAAGAGAATGTATTAGATGGTCAATTAAATTAACTTGAAGAATCTTTCATCATGATTCCGTACTGTAAATTCCACAATTTTTTGCATAATTATATCTCATGGCGTCATCTCATCTCCATACACCGTAGGCTCAAGAACAGATGCAGTTTTATGCACCTGCACACGATCAGACTCTACAACGCAATCTTTGTCGGGAATGGAACGCTCTTACCAAGTGGTATCCAGTTGACTAAGTACTTCACTGGATACAAACTTATAAGATCAACGTGAAAGCCTTCACTTACCATCAAATGACATAGTGATGGAATACTTGTACAAAACATATTTTAAAAAGGTAGTAGACACTTGATCAGCCTGAGTAAAACCAGGCCGTTCTAGTTCATGTTGGGACCTACTGTATAAATGACACTCCTAACATGTAGGAAGAGCTTATCAACGACATAGATGATTCGTTTAGACTGACAGGTTATTGATCTGATAAAAGCCTTTGAAATGACTGAAGAGGAAAAAGAATATATCTCCATAAATTTAAAAGATTACCTTAAATTATTAAGTCTCTAGATCAAACGTGTAGTAAGGAGTAGAAAAAATAATATCAGCATTCATAATTACATCTCCATTGTCAAATGGCACAAAGAACGTGTCTTATGAAGTAATGACATACGTAATGACACCGTTGTGTCTAGCGTTGACGACCTTTCTGAGGGTGGTCGTGTTTCCGTGATTCGGCAAGATAATTATGGAATTACCTACCTAAACTTTGTTATTAATTTTTTACTTTGTAATATTCATACAATTTTCGCATGTGTACATAGATACATGTACACTTGCGAAAATTGTATAGCTGCACACCCTTAATTTTTTTTTATTATACCAAGTGAGACGGGTCGAACAACTCGTTCGCTTGGTGGTAAGCGACACGTCTTTTCGCCTATCCATAACAGCAAACATTTTAGGGGCACTGTAACTGCGCCCGTTCCTTTGTGATCAAGTTATCAAATTCTCAACTCAGCATATTCTCAGTTCACTACATTCTCATCTTACTAGTTCTTAGCTCACCACATCGTCACCCAGAGACAGTTGGCAAGTCCCATGTGCCTGTAATTTCACCAGTACCCTTACCCTTCCAAACCAGCACGCAATAGTGCCCACATTACTGCTTGGCAGCAGAAACAGGTAAGGTGGTAGCAAAAAAGAAAGAAAGAACTATAAAGAAATCACAAAAGAAAAGTAATAGTGGGATTAGGTTGCTTTTGTTATGAGACAAATAATAATTTATGATATTATTACACAACCAACAACTGGCTTTCGCGATTGGTATACATTGGAAATGAAAGTATTTTTTCGTAAATAAATTGCATATTAGTATTTGTTTTTCCAAACAAACCAATGCTTCGGGCCCTTTACAGGGTCCATGGTCATTGCTGGTGTTGGCGGGATGCTTGGGTGTTAAGTAGAGGAAGAAAGGGGAAGAAATTGAAAATTCTTTGGGATCGTACAAAACGTATTTTACCCAGGATTTTTACATGACAATTGACGAGCAAAAACAAACGTCAAAAGAAATACTAAATTAAAAAAAAACTATATAAACTACCTATATCAAAAAATATGTGCTCGCGCACAATGTATCAGAGACTGATTCTAAAAAAACTTACTTAATTTTTTAAATATTCCAAAATACTTTTTTTACCTTCCCTGTCAATGAGTTATTCGTTATTTTATTCATGAAAAAATGTTCTCACACGTTGGTTTCTGTCAAAAAATTTTTTTGAGAAATTTGTTATTCACAAACTTAGCAAAATTCAAAATAGGAACGTTGCGCCCTCTTGATGAAGAATTAGGTTGAATATAAAATAAAACCGAGGGAAAATTTAAATATAGTCTGAGCTGTGTGAGGATGTTTCGTTTCACTAGTGGAAATCAAATGCATGAAGCTTTCTGGCATCACTTCAATTAACAATAAAAGTATCATAATTTTTCTTACAAAACACTTAAGCTTACCTCTTGCGGTTTTAAAAGTAAACCGTTTAACTTTTGTCACGTATTTTCCATCCATGATCGGTCAGGGCTGTGTTACGCCAGCCATTGAGCCACTTCCTGCCATTGAAGTGTTTTAGGTGTCTGGACTATTACGACAATATCAATAACAATTCTAGACTGAGTAACCTGACTTTTTTATTACTGTAAAATAAACGAATGCTTGACCACAATTTCCAACTTGGTAGAGACAATGTGGTTGACGATGTTACGATTATCTAGCAAATACCTATTCAATCTTGCCTTGAATAGCCCTAAATTCTAATTATAAGTAGCTCAATATCCGTAATAACACGAATTTTTGTATTGTAAAGTCCTGTTTTACAATTATTATCCGCATCACTGGTGTAGTAAGGCCACATCTACAATTATGACATCTTATTACGTCATCATCATCTGACATGAAAGACATAAATATAATACGAACTACATGAAACAAATTATGTATATGTGAAATTTTATAACTCTTCTAGATAGGAGATAAAACTAAGATAAGTATAAAAAATTATCTATTAATTATCGTTCGCAGAATGTTCAAACGTCTCTTGAAAAGTTGTTTTTAGATATGGCCTTATTACCTACAACTAGGGTGCAAATACGCGATATCGGATCAAAAAAAAAAAAAGTTTAATTTCCAATAAGAATTATGAATTAAATTGTTCTATGATATTGGCATGATCATCTCATAGAATTAATAGAAAAATGTATTAAGAAAATTATAAAACTGGATAATTTAGCCTAAGACAACATATTCATTGAAAAAAACAGGTCAAGCGCAAGTAAACTAGCATACAGGTGGATGCTTAAATTATGTGCCACATCATGAAAATAAACAATTTGCTATTTTGTCAAACGTAATAATTTTAATTATGTCTTTTTAATTTATACTGAAGCCAATATGTTGTTCAAAAATAAATATACACAAAGAAAATCAAATAGTACAATTAAAAACTTTGAATCCTGTTTCTGAAATATGTCCATATATGAATACCTGATATATGTCCAAATCCTAAATAAAAGTTTCTATAAATCTCATTGTTTTCTTTGATGGTTGTTGGATTTATAAAAGCTTTTGCTCAGAGCCCAAGTTTCTTTAGTTTCTTAATGAACTCTGAGCCCTCCATTTCCGCACGTTGCTCTGAAGAACAATACTCTGTAAAACCAAAGAATTCCGCTTTATGAAAAACTTCTTTTTTAATTCTCGCAGTTTCAATATTGTATAAATATTGATTTGTTAAGAGTTTATATTAGTCAGTCTTAAGATTATAACACTTGGCGCTTTTGCGCATGCATCCGATTCGTACTTATTCCAAATCCGAGACAACTTCCTACTTCGGATGCTACTCGAACCCATTCGGATGTCGCTTGTGCACTAAGTCCTATTCGAGTCCAAGAAAATACGAATATCGTTTAGAGATAAAGTGATCTCTGTGACATTTCGGACCGTCATTTCTCGGATTCCGATGAAGAGAATCTGATGTAGAGCGCAAACACTCCAGTCATATTAGTCATGTAGTTCCCACGTGATCGTTAAGTAGCTTTGCAGAAGTTTGCAGGTTTCCTCACAATGTTTTTCTTTACCGAAAAGCTCATGGTAAATTTCCATGGTCGAGTGGCTTGCACACCAGGTTTCATAGTGTCAACATCTCCGGGGTCAATGTTTTTTTTTATGATACCGAGTGACGGAGCGATCGAATCGTGGGCCTGGTTGTCAGCGTAAGTCCATAACAGTTGCAGTGCCACTCGGAGCTTTAAATCGCAAAGATCTGAGAGGCACTGGCATCATCACCCTGAGATATAAGTTGACGTCCGTGCCTGTAATTTCACCAGCAGCATTACCCTTTAAAACCGAAACGCATTAATGCTTACATTACTGCTTAGTGGCAGAAATAGGTAAGGTGGCAGTACTTCCCTGGACGAACTCATTCACAATTATCTCTACTGCTACTAATAATATTGTTTCAGGTCTAGGTGTTCGTGGAACCGTCGTTGTCGTGTTTCAGATTGCCATAACACAAGTGCTTTAGTTACTTACTTTGGGATCGGAGCAACGTATGTGAAGTTCTCTAATATTTATGTGTTTATTTAATTTAATTAAGTTGTATTTTAATAAAGTAATTAATAAAAATTCAAGTAAGTTAACTTGCTACTTCTCGAACCGAGTTAAGGTTAAGTTGTGCAAAAAAGCTGTATTTGTGTTGAATTATTTTTTCATGCAAAAAACTGCAATGTATGGAAAAAAAACATAAAATCAACGCCTTAATATACTTCTACTTACAATTATATGGACGACGGGTCTAATACAAAAACCACGAAAAAAATGTCCCAAGTCAACCTATTTAAACGTAGTGTACATGTAAATGAATATGAAAAACTAAATCGTTGAATTTAAATTGTAATGTCATCGCAGTACTGTCTAATTTTGCTTGCTTCGCTGTCAGTCGAACAAACGAAGACTAAAGCGTGAATGACGCTCTGTATACGATTTTAACGCCCTATAAGTTCGGACACTTTTTAGCGCGGACCCGACGTCCATATAATTGTAAGTTAATGCTTAATATATAAATTACTAATTTTCTGTTATTTATCCTTTAGCCTTAATCACAAATTAATGCTTTTCAGATTATCAACTTGAAATAGGAGTGTATCTAACGGTGTATACTTCTATTGCTTATAGTAGGTGCTAAACTTACCAACTTTACTAGATTCCCAACCAATAAATTCTCCAGTACGCTCATTTTCAGCTTTAAGCCAATCGTGTAAAGGTTTAAAGTATTCCAGCAAGCCTTTAGCGTTCATTTTACGTTCGCCTGTTAGAACTGCCATTGCGTCTGGCCACGGCTTGGATGAACCCATTTGTAACATTTTACTGAAACAACATTGCGTTTGTTTTAATATTCATGAAGTAATCAATAATAAACATGATTTCTTAATCTTTCACTTAAATATTTTTTCTACAGGCGTTGTTCGAAAATGGAATTTATGCTTTATTTGGAAATACTACCTATTGTGTGCTAAAAATATGGTGTGTAGCGATTCACCTCCTTTATAATGGCACCTTACTTCGAGCCTAAAACTAATACAATAAATAACTCACCCTAAAGCATTTCCAGCAGCCGTGCTCTTATAAATATCGCAGTCAGATAGCAGCGTGTTAGGATCACCTGGGACGTACTGCCCAGCCAATTCGCAAAGTGACTTATGAAACTGGAACTGAATTACGAATGACACGTAATACCTGAAATTAATCGCGACGTTTAAAATACAAACATTATCAATATCGACCCACTTTTCAAAAGGTACAGGAGCAGTGGCCCCGGTCGGACACAAATCGTACTGTGGTATAATAAAGCCATATGTAACCATATGTCAAAAGCGTTTTATCATATTATAAAAGTCATAACAATAACACGAAGTACAGGAAATAAATAACGCGCATGTGAAATTTCATTACCCTATAAAAAAGTTATAGACTAATTTTTCTAAATTTTCATGTGGCCTTATTACACCAGGGGTGCGAAATTCATTATTTAGGTTTGTGATTTCGATAAAAAGAAGCAAAGATGGTTTGCGAAAACCTGGTAACACTTACCTCATGTACTCAACATCAGCAGCAACATGATATTTAGCTGCAGGGTCAAAGTCGTCTTCTGATCTAGGTGCTGGGGGTTCAATACCCTGTATAGATTCACGTAGTTGCCAGAAATGACAGTTGTAATCATCAGGTATTGTAGTACCACGGAAGATGCCGTATCGATACAAATCCAGCACATATGCGAATGGAAGAAAGACGATCTTTTCTAGACCCTGAAAAACAACAATCATGAGGTAACTCAAACAAGCGCTAAAAAGCTTATAAAAATTAAAAAGAAATTCATTCAATCACATCAGAAAATGTTGACGAAACTACGGGACTTGTCAACTTATGTCTTGAAGTGACGAGCGCAGTAGCAATGTCCTTCAGGTCTTTGCGATTTAAATCTCTGAGTGACACTGCAACTGTTATGGGTTGGCGTGTCGCTTACCATCAGGAGCTCGACTTGGGGATTATGGTCATTATGGGAGAGAAAACTCGTGATCAGCAGTAAATATCCAGACGTAACTTTTTTGACTTGGAAATATTCATTTTATTATTGAATGTAATTATGATTTTACAACCATGATATTCATATATTTTTTAATACAGTTGCTCAAAACGTGGTATTTTGCGCACTACAAATCGTGCGGAAAGTTGGATTTCTCGCACTAGTGCTTTTTACTTTCCAGTTTTTTTTTTAATTTAATGTTGTTTTAAGTCTTAAACATAGAACTAAAGAAGTTGTATATTTATTTAATATTTATGTGCTTTGTGACGTACATAAGTCATTCGTCATTAAAACTTATATTTATTTACAAATACTATATAATGAACGTATCGAGTGGAGGTCCACAGTCTCTGCCTACCCCTGAATAGGTGACAGGCGAGATTTTTATGTATATATTTATTTGTTCTATGTATTACAGATAAATTGTATCTCACTACCGTGCACGGGTTCCTAAAGAAGTTTAAACAAAAGTACCAGGACTTCATAATAAGAAAAGTGGTTACAGACCGATATTACAGAAAATAAACAAAAACAGCACGTTAGAACTAGATTTCCATAGACTTTTAACTAATGGTTGCAGTGGTTGTATTTCATTATTTTAATTTACTAGCAGAAAATGAGTTTTGTTTAAATACTGTTTTATTTTACTTTCAATGTAGTTTTTTCGCAAATGTATTAAAAAACGTCGTTTGATACACGTGCGGATTTGTCATTTTCACTTGTCTCGCGTCTTGACCCTCGTCTCTGGCTCGGGCCAAGAAGCCTCGAGACTCGTGAATAATGACTAACTTTCCGCACTTATATCAAAAATTACTTTTTTGTGTAATAACTCCACTAGTATGTTTATAATACAAAAATCGAACATAGGTAAAGAAAAATAAAATTCCTTCGACCTGACGGGACTCGAACCTGCGACTGTGCTAAATCAGGCCCACCGTTCTACCAACTGAGCTACAGATGGAGTGAGCAGATCTTACGAAATTCTCAATGTGTTTGTTATAGATCTTTGTACAGCACAAAGAGCCTAACTAATAGGTACTTACCATTTTATATAATTGATTAATATTTGACTCCATATCATCAGGTCCGTCTTCCAATAGTCCTATGACTCTTAAGTGCTTAGGAGTGGAAACGGACAAAGAGATGACGTCACCTACAGCCTCGTGGAAACCGGGATTAGCTCCACCTCGATAGATGACTGGCAAATCCTTGTATTGCAAGTAGTACTGGATGTGGCCCATTTCGTGATGGGTTGTTTTGAAAAAGGCGCTAGTTATGGTGGTACATTGTTTGATCCTGGAAAAAGAACATTATTTGTTAACACATCGCCTGTGAAGCCATTTTTTATTTTATTTCTATCTCAATATTATAAGCTGCGAATTGTAACATATAAACCATTTTATTATTATTTATGAACCTGAAATCTTCGCTGTCATAAAAGTCCCAGGCAGAAGCATGACAAACCAACTCTCTTCCATCATCAGGTTTTTCGAGAATTGAATTTTCCCAGAACGAGTCTGGTACTCCTTGCAAATTGAGAGACTTGAAGAAGTCGTCTGCAGTTTCAAAGAATTTTAGGACTGTGTAGTTCTGATGAATAAAAAAGAAAAGTTAAATGTTTATTAACAACATTACCAGAGTAAGTACGTATCATATACATAGAGCTCAAAAAATCTTACTTGTTCTATTAAAGCAGTTGTGACATTAACGTCAGGTTTGTCAGGAAACGGTTTAGTAAATCTTTCAACTCCGCTCCAGGTTTGTGCCCAAATGTTGCCTTAAAGTAATAAAAATAAAAACCAGAATGACTATTTTCTCACCTTTCTATACCAGTATACATACTGTCTTATATAATAGCTTATATAATAAAAGTGCCATAAATGGCTATACCATAAAATAAGCATATATATATATATATATATAAATAAGTATGTATATAATACGGGAAAGTCCTTTACCCGATCATGAACAAAAAATGAAATTTCTCAAATTTCATTTTCCTGCTTACTTAATAAATGTGCTGGAATAGGTCCTTTAGCTGAGACCACTTCTTCTCCATATTTCAGTCTCAGATGACGTCTCACGTATGCATGAATCTGTTGGTACAAGGGTTTGATCTGATTCCATAGCAACGCAAATTGCTGCTCACTATCTGGGACCTCGTAGTAACTTAACCACCATTCCGCTACTGTGTCATAGCCTGAAACATTTCGTCTTTTAATGTGGAGATTATACGATGTGATATATGACGTTATTCGTCTTACAGCTGCCTGAAAATCGTTTAGAAGTTATTATTACTTCATAATGACGGCATTAACTTTTTCATCCTAAAGATATTAGTATATTCTAAGAATACATGGAATGGTATTGTTATCACAGCCTATACCAGATTTCACAACTCTCCAGATGTCGTAGTTTAAAACGTGGTTTAAATATATTATTTGAACGTTGTATACAGGACATTCCACGGCAGTGGGACACGAGGGGATAATACTGTAAATATTGTAAACAAGAGAGAAGAGAGAAGTATTTTGCTATATGGAGACATAGTTTTATTTTTAAAAGTAAATAATACTTACTCATGGACTTCTAAAAAGATGTTTGCCTCATCAGGGAATACAATCAACTAAATGTGAAAAAGCAGTATTTTTATAATAATAATAACGCACTAGGAAAACCCTGTGTCGCGGGCGCCATGTACACATACATAAACAACCACAAATTACACCCAAACTCACGAGAGAAATAAATTTAGGCAATACAAATATTTCTCCCGGCCCGGGAATCGAACCTGGCAACCCGGCCATGGTAACTGTTCGGCCACGGAGGCAGTTAAAACGCCTCAATTCCGTTTATATTTTATCCATATTGTCAAATTTCTTCTTGTATGATAAATTACCCCCAAATATGTACCGATCCAATTAGGAAAACATTAAGTAAGAGATTCGGCTATTCTTCGACTACAATGAGCCGGAGCCTCATCTTGAAGTATGAATATTAACAGTAAAAGTATCATAATTCATTTTCATAAATTTAAATGTAAAATTTTCTTGGTGTTCCTTTAATTAAACATAGTATGTCACTCAAAAGAAATTAATTCTTACAATTCACCCGTTCTATCGGTATCTATCTATTATGATAATAAAAAAAGGTGTTTTTTCACATTTGCCCGTTCGATTCCCAGATGCAGCAAGGAACTTTTTAAAAGTTTTGTAATGCGGTATTGATTACTTTTAAAAATGAAATTATCTCCATGATGCAAAATATCCTGTACCATATTAAAACTAGTTTCCTTCAGTGTCGCATAGACATAAGACGCTCTGAGTATTATTACCATTCAATTTTGCAGCTTCGTTACACATTTGCACATATTCCATGAAGTCCCTCCTTGATGGTGCACCTGACGCCTTGTACCATTCCAACCATACATGTTTTAGCTCTTCGGAGTCCTCACTGTGTGCAAATATGTCCGTAACATCTGAAATTAATAATATTACTGAGACTGGAACATTATGCTTTGTAAAAAGATCTTTTTAAGTTATGCACTAATATTACACTTTAACCACTTCTCGACTTCAAGTCAAATATAAATAAATAATGTTTAGTGTTGCAATGAATAGTGTATTCGGTATCGGGCCGAATACTGAATAGCAACGCAAGTATAAAAATTGTCACACAAACCGCATTACTGCCGTCTGCTAACTAAAAGGAGACTAAGTAACAAAATATTTTTTGAGATATCATAAAAGACCATAAGCCAGTTTTAGAATATTGAAATTGTTTAATGATATTTCAGCTATGCATCGTTAGAGTAAGTTCCGATAAATATAACACGTTAACTAACTTTAACCATTTTTAAAAGAGTATTTTATGCTCTATGTTTTGCTATTTAAAACGAATGTTTGACCATTTGTAACTTAGCCGCTTTTTAGTTAGTGGACGGCAGATTATAGACGTCTGATTCGCCCGCTGTCACTAAACTGTGTCAATAGCGTGAATTCTTGTACTAGTTCACATTTGATTTTTTATCTTTTTTGATCTCTTAGAAAAATAACGTAATTATGTAACTTTTCGTTTGATCTTTTAGATAAATACGCGAAAACTTGCGTTTTCTGGCACAGTTACATAATATTTATTGCTTTTTTCTTATTTCATCTTGTTTTTAAGTATTCGGTGTTCGATCAAATAGCAAACAATAAACCGAATGGGTCGAATACCGAATAGTAACTGAATATTCATTGCATCTCTAATAATAATACTGTTTGATACATTTGTTTCTTTAGGTTCATAGATAATATTTCTCATAACATTACAGTTTTATGAAATTAATAATAGTGTGAATTTTAAACAATGTGATATTTCTGTAGGATTAAATAACTTTTTACCTGGTTCCACGTGCAGATCACATTTGGTTCTATTCTTGTAGTCACAAATGGTGGCTTTAGCGTATGTTGATTTCATGTTATTGATAGCCTGAATCAATCTCTGGTTTAAGTCCTCAGGTAACGCTGAAGTACCAAGAATGGAATATTTTTTGAACATCCTCTTCAAGTCTTCATCCTCGAACTCATGCCAAATGTAAGTCATTGTTTCTTTCCAATATTCTTTCTCTTCTTCTGCTATTTCTAATGACACTTGCATCTGGAATTTGTAAACATGACTGACTCGCATAAGAAATTTAGCTTTTACAACACTATTTTATTATTAATGCCAGTTTTCTATAAGATACATGTTATTTTAACTATACGTAAATATTATTGTTTGTTTGGTTATTGTAAAATCCCGAATATCGGTGAAGTTATATACAACAATTCTTTGTCAATATATCTACTTGGATAAATTGAGCACTTACTAATACATCCTCGTTATGTTTTGTAAGATTAGAATCATAATTCCACCTAGCCAAAGCCATCTTGTTTCTTATCTTGGAAGTCAGCTCGTCCAATTTTCTCATGTACTCTCTTCCGGAGGATTCTTCAGCTGCTCTTTCTTGAGCCCATTCTTGGGCAGCTACTATAAAGACAGAAGCTATTGCCCCTACGAGGGCAAGCTCCCCTACGATTTTGAAGATCATCTGTTTGGATAAATTAGTGAAGAACATTTTAATGCCTTTTTATATACTGTTCACGTATAAACAAAGACACACGAATACTTAAGTCAATTGAATACAAAAAGTTAAATGTAAAAACTACTAGAAACTTAAAATCACAGAAATGTTATTAAAGAATGATATATCAAAGTCATGATCAGAATTTATGAGATATGTACGTTATGTGGTAGATATTAAATAAGTTGTTGCAATAGCATACATCTTATCTCGGTTAGTAATAGCGGCTAAAGAAGATGCTTACAAACATGACCCTCTTAGCAGTTGTAGTACAATATCCACAAGGCATGTTTTTATGGAGAATACTTCTAAAAAAAACAAATCTCTACGTTCAAGTCGAGATCACTCGACAAACTGAAAACAATCTGAGCGTTCATGTAAATTCATTTATCATGTAAATGAATAAGTACAAGTGTAAGTTTGACACGCCGTTGAATTCTGAAAAGCTGTATCGCCAAACGAAATTGCGAAACGCCATAGGAAGGACATTGTCGGTCATACTCTTATAGAAAAAATATGTTATACATAGGTACATATGAGTAGTAGTAAATAAATATTTTGCCTGAACAATAAGTTGGAATTTTGCAGGAGCGGGTGTACTTAACTTGTTTTTCTGGTCTGCCTGTCTTCACTAAATTTTTGATAACTTATCAATATCAGTGTAGCTATGTTGTAGTAAATGTAGCGTGATCGGGAGAGGGCCAATCCCGCTTGGTGGCGGCGTACCTTCGCGGCTGCGGGCGATCGGAGCAGGGGCTTCGTTCGCCAGTAAGTTAGGCAGCCGCGATGAGGACGACGACGGGGCGGTGTGGCCCGCTTCGTCGTGAGGAGAGGAGGGGGAGGACGTAGCTCCTCCTAGGTGCTGGGGGGTTCCGGTGCGCAAAGTCGATCCCGGATCCCTCCCACTAGAGCACCCGAGAAGGCCACTGTGGGGTTTTAGCCGGTAGAAGTTTGGCATAGCCTCCCGCTGCCCCCGCGGCGGAGAGATATCCTAGGAGGATTTCCCCACGCAAAAAAAGTCGGTCTCAAGTTCGATCCCCGGCCGGGTCAATGTAGATACTAAATTTTCTATGTTGTCTCGCGTCTGGGTGTTTATGATGCCGTAGTTGTTGTTTCCGATTTCCATAACACAAGTGCTTAAGTTACTTAATTTGGAATCAGAGCAACTTATGTGATGTTGTCTAATATTTAAATTTTTACTACAGAATTATTTATATATATAAAGGACTTATGAATTATTACATCATCTTTCTCTTTGCATGACCTTAATATTATGTCTTTATTTGATACCAAACTAAAAAATAATAATTCTTACCGTAGGTGCTTTTCTTCCACTTTTAGATCGATGACTACTTGAACAAAGAGTTAACAGGAGATATTTATTTATGACATCTTGCAGATAACCATTATCTTTTGAAGTGTTAGATCATGGAAGAAGAAAAAAAGAGTGGGAATGGTATCAAACGACATTAGTATCAAAACCGGTGTCGCCCCACGCATACATTTAAAAACGTAATCTTACATTAGTACTAAGATAACACAATTTTTAACCGACTTTAAAAAAGGAGGAGGTTCTCAATTCGAGATTTTTTTGTATGTTACGCGATAACTCCGGCTTTGTGAACCGATTCTGATGATTCTTTTTTTGTTGGAAAGAAGGTACCTCAGTTTTGGTCCCATTTAAATTTGAATAAAATATTCCACCTCTAATAGTGTCAAACTAGGGGATGAATCTGGTTTCGCGCACTTTCCGATAACCAATTTCAATAAACTTGGCAAATAGTTGTAATTCCACGAACTTTTAAGGGTCGGTTCTTTTGGTACTCTGTAGGTACTGAGATTAAAATTGGATATAAATTATCAAATGAAATCAAAAGTTGACAATCTACAGATAGGGATGTGACCACGTCTAATTGACATCGACATTATGTTTCATAACTAGTGGAATGTTGAAGTAGGCATTGCTATAATTGTTACAATTAGGGTTAACCAGGAGGAATATGGAAGTGGCATATAGAGAATTATTTTTTGAGAACTAGCTTATCTGATTTTTACACGCACACATTTGTTACCAAAAACGCACAAGGTTTTACTACACGCAAGTACTAACACACAAACCAAAGTATTTGTTTGGTGTGTGTGTTAGATAAAAGATACAAGTTTCGAAACTTCTGTATATCTTCGGCATCTATTCGTGTGATAAAGATAAAAATTATCTATTATCGTGCAGATATCGAAAGTTTTTAAAGTTATAAAATAATATATCTGATGTTGATTTTAATACAATAAAGAACATAAGCACTAAGGACGTACAAGTTACTAGTTATATGTAGTTTGATAAGTTTTCTTAGATTTTAAGACGCGTCGCAACAAAGTTTGGAGAAAAAGAGCTATGTACTTAACGAGTGTTTTATTTCCACAACCTGGGGCCTTACCAAGAACTCTTATTACGATTCAGTTTAGGACCTAAAATGAATGGTTATGAGACAGCGCTACATGAAGTGCATATCACCATCTGGCTTTTTTATCATTACGAACCTATACTGAACTGTAATAAGAGTTCATGGTAAGGCCCCTGATGGTTTATATTCCTTTAAAACTACAAATAACTCGCATGAAAACATATGCCGAGTTAAAGGTTAAATAGGTGACGAAAAATATTCTTTGATTTTAAATAATGAACCATGAAAACTAGAATGAAAAATAAATATAGTACACTAGACTTAGTGTACTATATTTTTTTATTATCATTATTACTAGTAAATTATCCTCAAAACCAAATCCAATGTAGATATATTTTTGTAGGTAAATTTGAATGAATTAAATCTCCATCCATTTGGGTGGACCTATCTTATTCAGTTAATGGTTACAGTGAAAGGCTTTTGTCCCTTTTTGCGAACTTGACCATTTTTTTTAAATATAAATAATTTTGATTTTTTTTATATCCTAAATAATATATTCTTGCTAATGCTGACCCCGTTTCCAAATTTAATTTATATTTAGTAGCAGTAGAGCTCATTGTGAAAGCGTTCGTCCCCTTACCTATTTCTGCCACCAAGTAGTAATGTGAGCATTACCGCCTTCCGGTTTTGAAAGGTAAGTGTTGCTGGTAAAATTATAGGCACATGAGACTTGTCAACCTATATCTCAGATTGATGGGCGTAGTCGCAGTGCCCCTCAGATCTTTGCTTTGTAAAGTTGTACCGAGTGACACTGCATCTGTTGCGGACAGGCGTGTCGCTTATCATCAGGCGCAGGACTTGTTCGTCCCTTCACTTGGTATCAATAAAAAAAGTGTCCCCATTTTAAAGAAAAAAAGCAAAAACCTTGTCAGTGATTGAAACGCTACCCACGAAAAGTCAAGAAACAAAAAAAAAATTAAGTTAACTGTTCCCTAAAGGACTACTCCTGTTTTGCGTCTTTGCTTTAAATACGAGCGTATCGTTTCTGTAGCAATGTTGAATTATAATACACTATTACTATTGTATAATGAGACAAACATATAACTCCATGCAATCGTTGCGGCGCCGGCCATTTATTATGGAATTGAAGCGGTCGCTCGTCTCTCGGTAATTAAAAATTCACATCAAATAATAAATGTGTTTATTGTTGTGTTTGTGGTCGCTTGAACTAGAGTGTCTAACATTCAGAATTATCAGCATTTCATTTCTCTTTCGTAATCATACTCCATAATCAAGATACCAATCCGCGATGCTAGTATAAAAATATCAATACATAAGTACCTACTGCATTAAACAAAGGTTATCAAAAAAAAAAAGCACGTGAATATCGTGATGAACACTTAATTTTTTCAAATTATGTAAACATAAGTAACAACCTGCCTGTAGGTACAATTAAAAAAACAATGTAACAACTCTACGCTCCGAGAAATATAGGCATTTACACGCCAAATAGGCGGGAGATCCTCAAGGAGGAGAACAACACGCCAAACAGGCGGGAGATCCTCAAGGAGGAGAACATCGGGCGATTCATTTAGTTCCTCAAGATTCCGTCCTGTTTGCAACACTCTTTCTGCTCCAAATCAATGATATGATAACTCCAGGTACCTATGTATATGCTGATGACACCACAGTTGTAGATAAGTACTTGACCAATGCAAGGTTCAGTGGAGAGAAAATCAAATCTTGTCGAGAGTCTATGGTTAGCCATTTGGATTTGACACTCAAGGCAGTCTCCGATTGGGGTGATGCCAATCTTGCCAAATTTAATGCTACCAAAACGCAGGCGTATCTATTCTTCACAAAACGGAGTCCCTTTGAGCTGACTCCGACTTTTCGTGATGTATCCTTACCTATAGCCGACCGTCTCCAGCTACTTGGAATGGACCTGTCGTGCAATCTGAACTTTGGCAGATACATTGAATCCATCCAGTCGTGTATGGAGTTCTGCTGCCACCTTCAGGATGGCTCTGCTACATACTAACTGTAGCCAGTTGGTATGTAGCATGAATTCAATTGACAAGCATACCAAGAGGCTTATAGGTGACTCGGAGTTATTACAGGCGAAGCTGCAGAGCCTTGAACACCGCCATAAAGTTGCCTGCTTATCGCTATTTTACAGGATATATCACGGAAAGAGTGCGATGGAATTATACGATTTAATTTTGCCTTCCCCTTTCCACCATCGGCGGACTAGGCGTAGGCTTTGATTCCACCCCTATGTTGTGGATATTCCAAAGATTCGCACGAAGCGTTCCGCTTCCACATTTATATGGCGAACGCCTATGGGGTTGGAATTCCCTGCCTGCAGACTTGTTCCATGGACGTTATAACTTAGACCTTTTCAAGGCGAGAGTGAATAGGCATTATTTAGGTGTGCATGCTTTATCATCGATCTCGTTGTCACTTTCCATCAGGTGAGATGGAGGTCTAATGCATACATATGAATAAAAAAAAGAGTTGCCCTATTTGCTCTTATTGCATTATGCGATTAAGTCTGGGATTGCAGAACGAGTATGAGTTACAGAACTGAACATCAGTTCGACCTTGTACTATAATAAAAAATCAGGCATTTGACGTTCCCGCCAAAATCTGTATAACGCTTTACTCAAACAATGCAAAGATGTAAAAGAAAGAACAAAAAAAGAACAAAATTTTCCGTTCTCGCAATTACGGACAACTGATGCTCAGTAGTTGGCTAGCATATTTCTCGTTTTCTACATTTATAAGTTTAGACAGAAAATAATCTTTTTTAATCTTCTGCCCTAGATCGGTAAAGAGTTGCGTAGTCCACCAGTAGGGCTAGCACAATAGGGTGCGACTTGCGCAAGAGCGACATAGTTAGCGTGATTTCTTTGCGAGAATAGAAATCACGCTATAATATATCTCGCGCTTTATGTCGATCTTACTCAAGTCGCGCCTTAGGCTGCCTTTCCACCAGATGTGCGAGGTTGCGAGGCGGTGCGAGGATGTGTAGCGGGGCTGTGAAACGGTGTAATGTTTTCTACCAAAGCCGTACGAGGTAGCTAGGCGGTGACAGGATGTTCAGCGGTGCGGTGCGAGGATAGGTTACAGACTCTTTTCAACTCTGCGTGGGCGAGGTACGGTGTGGTGGGACGAGCGGTGGCGACGTGTCAGTGTCAGTTAGTGTCATACTTTGAGTAGCTCTAGTTTCCAATACCGTTTGGCACATATACCTCGCCCGCATTCCTCGCACACATCTCTCGCATTTTTTGTATGTATAAATACCTCCGCTAACCGTTTTCCACCGGAGCTGCGTTAAGCGAGGCTAGGAAATTGAAGTAATCTATTTGACTAAAGATGGATTTTTTCCTCTCACACCGCCTCGCTACTTCGCACATCTTTGGAGGAAAGGCAGCCTTATCGTGCTCTACAGTACATTAATGTTTTCGTGCTCTTATCAATAGGAGAATTTAGTACAGGCATGACCCCATTTTGTGTTCTTTTTTGAAAACAATACAAATATATCCGACCTAGTGTGTAATTAATTACGTTTCACCACATCTAAACTATAATCAATATGTAATGAATACTTTACCTTAGATTAGAAAATAAAACGCAGTCAGAAATATTATCTTAGAAAACTTTATTACGAATACTGACGCTCGCCTACGACAAATTAAACTAAGTTAGTAAGTACACGTCACGTCTGTTTCTCGGCCACTGGCGGCTCTGTCTGAGTTTCCTTAGCATTTACGGCGGCTAATTGTTCTGATGTACAATATTCTGGAAAGAAAAAATAATCACACTGAGTAGTCTGCTTACAACTCTTATGACTAACCTGTATGGAATATCCTTATGTACCAAAGACACAAAGAAAAATTACCTACGTGGGTCAAAGACTAAATATTATTGGCAACCCTACTTTGTCAACCTGCACACTGTACAATATTTTTGTCAATATTTCATGTTAAAAACTGACTCGGTAACGTGTAAAGGAGCTTGATCCGTGTGCGAATATCGTAAAATTATTTTTTACATTATCAGGGTTGGTACGCATCGATAGGTTTAATCCATAGATCTGGACATGTCTCCTACATTTTAATAAATTCTATCAAGTAATATTTTTCCATGGGAGTAGCGAAACTTATCAAGGAGCAGAGGAAGCATACGAGGTTTAAGTATATTTTAGTAGCAGTAGAGCTCCTTGTGAAAGAGTTCGTCCAAGGAACTACCACAGCCACCTCGCCCGAAGGGTAAGGGTGCTAGTGAAATTACAGGCACATGGGACTTGTCAACTTCTGTCTTAGGGTAACGGGCACAGTGGTAGCACCCCTAAGATCTTTGCGATTAAAAGTTCTGAGTGGCACTGCAACTGTTATGGATAAGCAAGTCGCTTACCACCAGGCGCACCACTAAGAACGATGCCACACGGGCGTTGCATCGTCGCAACGCTGTGATTTTCACGTACTAAGTTGCTTGCGATGGCGCGCCGTTTCAACGCACCGTGTGACATATCATTCTGATGTACATGTAGTACAAAACGCAGCGTCACACGCAACGTTAGTCGCAACGCCGACGCTATATATCGTGTGGCATTGCTCTTATTCATCCCGTCGCTTGTTATTAGAAAAAAAAAACAAGTAACTTAAACCACATATAACCTATCGTCTCCAAACAGTTAACTTGTACAAACTAAAACTGTCAAAAGACAAGTCACTTTCAACCCGATTAATCTTAAAACTAAACCAAATCGTCCTTCATTCGTCAAGCTCGTCGTACCCGTAGGTTCTTATGACAGCAACGGGAGTACAGGCTTTTCAAAACTATTTCATGTACAAAACAATCTAACTTACGCATTTTACTAGGTTCCCAACCAATGTACTCTCCAGTGCGTAGATTCTCCTGCTTCAACCAGTCATGTAGAGGTTTAAAGTATTCCAAGAGTGCATCAGCCTTCATGTGCCGTTGGCCAGTAAGGACTTCCATCGCGTCCGGCCATGGTTTAGAAGAACCCATTTTCAGCATGTTACTAGAAAAAAAACCCTCGTTTAAATGACTGCGTACTGTTCCTTTTATATCATATTAATTTCTGCGCGGCGACTTACGAAGGACTTGCTTAGGATACAAATTATTTTTCTCCCAAATCACACCGCGATCCGTAACTTTATCCATCCAAACTTACTCATATTTTGGTTGAGGAATGAATTGATGAAACTTTTGCCTTTTTAGTGTTCTTTCCCATTGCGAAACGAATTTTTTCGAGCACTCTATGCTAAGAAATGTATGCTCTCCCAGTTTTCTTTCCAAAATAATAATAATACTATTATTATAAATTGTACTTACGAAAGGGCGTTTCCAGCTGCAACGCTCTGGTAAATATCGCAATCCACAAGTTTCTTAGTAGGATCCGCAGGATCATACTCTCCTGCAGCTTGGCAAAGAGCGCGGTGGAATTGGAACTGAATGACGAAAGACACGTAGTATCTGAAATAATACAAACGCAGAGTTTGTAAAATAGTTGTAATAGAGTTTTCTAGTTTTCACATAAGATATTATTTAGAGATTGTCGATGTTCTCCGTAATTAGTAATTAGAGTAGCAGTATAGCTTCTTCTGAGATTTTATTCCGGGAAATATCTATTTTTGCCAACAAGCAGTAACGCGAGCATTACTGCGTTTCTGTTTTGAAAGGTAAGGGTGCTGGTAAAATTACAGGTACATAGGTCAACTCAGCCTCAGGGTGACAGGCGAAGAGGCACTCTGAGTGGCACTGCAACTGCTATGGACAGACGTGTCGCTTACCAATAGAAGTACGACTTGTTCGTCCCGTCACAAGGTATCATTGAAAAAAATTTTCCAAGCCTAATGCCATAATAAGACAAGTAGTATAACTCCATACAAAAGTGTCAGCGCAGCTTGTATGAGTGCAAGACTTCGTAGCGCACTCTAGTTGCACAGGGCGGGTATTTAAAATATTTAAAATATTTTTCTTTGTATCAGAATCTAAATACAAACTTCCATTTTATTTCTATTTCATAAACTAATCATCAAGATAGGGAGAGAGAGTTTCGATTTTATAATCATACTTATCATCACAATCGAGATCTAACATGCGACGCTAATATAAAAATATCAATGTGTGTGTCTTTATCAAAGTTTTTTTCAATATAGCATGAAATAACTGTTATGAAATTATAATTTTTTCAAATTATGTTTTGCAACTTGTAGGCACATCTAAAATAAGAATATGACAACCCTATGCTCCGAAGGAGAGTAGGCAGTGATGCGCCGAATAGGGGGAGTATCATTACTTATCTTATTATATATTTCGTCGCTTCATTCTCGATACAATATTTAATCAGGTTGTTTCCTTAACTTGCTAGGCAACACCACACGGTTTTTAGAGAAAAAAAATGTTTTGACGTTGACACTCCCTACCAGGCATCAACCGCCATTTTCTATCCTCGTTAATTTTTCGTGCGTGGCAACAAGCACACTTCCACAGCTCCGTTAAAATGTCAAAGCGAGCAAAGTTAGAAAAAATCAAATATTAACGCTCACACGCATATATAAAAGTATACTGAAATACTTGGAAAATACAGATGCCAAACGCCGTCGGCGTTATAGGTTCATAATATCATCGGACGAGTCGGACATTGATCAAGGTAAGATTTTTTCTTAATTCATATTTATCATATAGCACTACGTGCTACTTCCGCAAGTATAATAAATGTTCCCTTTCATACATCGCAAATGTGAATCTAACCTACATTTAATAAAACATTGGGTTAACCGCGAGTTATCCCCAATAACCAAATCAAACATGGGTGGATGAAAATCCGAACAGATACATTAATATGTGCATTTTATATGATTTATAATAAAACTGCCTCGGAATTAACCGCGAGTTAAACACGATAATGAAATCGACTGCGACTTGTTTTAATTTGAACAGTGTTAGTACCTACGTGCTAATAAGTAACGTATATTTTTTTAAATGAAACTATGTCGGGGTTAACTGCGAGTTAACCACTATGATGACATTGAGTGCGAGTCGATTTTAATTTGAACAATATTAGTTCTTACATGCTAATAAGCAAAGAATTTTTTAAATAAAATTACGTCGGGGTTAACTGCGAGTTAACCACGATAATGAATCAACTGCAAGTCGATTTTATTTGAACAATATCAGTTCCTACGTGGTAATGAGTAAAGATTTTTTTAAATAAAATTACGTCGGGGTTAACTGCGAGCTAACCACGATAACGAAATCGACTGTGAATCGATTTTAATTTGAACAATATTACTTCCGACGCGCTAATATTATACAATAAGTAAAGATTTTATTTAAATAAAATTACGTCGTGGTTAACTGCGAGTTAATCACGATAACGAAAACGATTGCGAGTCGATTTTAATTTGAACAATATTAGTTCCTACGTGCTAATTTTAATAATAAGCAATTTTTTTTAATAAATTTCGTCGGGGTTAACTGCGAGTCGATTTTAATTTGAACAATATTAATACCTACATAATAATAAGTAAAGTACTTGTTTAATTAAATTTACATCGGGGTTACCCGCGAGCTAGCCACGATAACGAAAGCGACTGCGAGTCGATTTTAATTTAAATAGTATTAGTATTTACGTGGTAATTAGTAAATATATTTTTTTAATAAAATTACGTCGGGGTTAACGGCGAGTTAGCCACGATAATAAAATCGACTGCGAGTCGATTTTGATTCGAACAATATTAGTACCTACGTGCTAATAAGTCAAGTAATTTAAAAAAAATAAAATTACGTTACGTGCAATTAATAAGTGTTAACGAAACACGCCGTAGTTAAAACTCAATTACCTATCTAACACAATTCTAAAGAAGATCTTAATGATTTTAGGCGACAACCACCTGCAAAACCAATATGCAGCTTCGCCAGCAATACCATTATGTAAACAGGTACCAACACCAGTCTGTAATACCCGGCATAAGTTTATCGCCAGACAACAATAGAAAAAATTTCATATTACAATTAAAAACTTAATTGACTTGGGAGCAGTGATAAAGTGCTGTCCTAGAAAACATCAATACATTTCTAGTACTTTTTTAGCCCCAAAACGCAATGGTAGTAGTCGTTTCATATTGAACATAACGTTCTTTAACAAATTTGTAACAAAAACTCATTTTAGAATGGAGGACTATCGAATTACCTCCAAATTGATAACTCGCATTGAAAGAGGTATATTCACTGACATCTATTTGCGAATCAGACCGAAAGTACCACAGATTTCAGTATTTACCTTGTGGTTCGAATGAAATTGAAACCTATGAATTTACTGCTCTGAAAATACGGCTTGTCCACAACATCGAAAGTGTTTACCAAAATCATGAAAGAAGTTGTAACACATTTGAGACAACAAGGATTTGACTCCGTGGTATATTTAGATTTTAGATGATATTTGTTGTACAGCAGCTGATTATGACGATGCATCAATAATGTTAATGCAACCATTAACTTATTGCAATGTTTGGGCTTCATCGTTAATTACGGCAAATCTCTGTTACAACGATGTCAAGTTTGTAAATTTCTAAGATTCAATTTGATTCATGAAATTTAAGTATAAGTTTACCTTTAGAAAAACGTCAGAAAATTTACCACTTACTTTAAAAAATAATGAGGTTACCCCGATGTACCATACGGGAGTACGCGCAATTGATTGGTGTCATCGTCTCAGTTTGCCCAGCCACTAAATATGGTTGGTTATATACAAAATTACTGGAAATTCAGAAATTTCTAAGTCTTCAAAAATATGACGGTAACTATGAAACAACAGTTTATCTTCCAGATATAATTCTAAGTGAATTTGAGTTGGTGGACAGACAATATTTACTCGACTTGATCGTATATGAGAACCTCAAGTTTTAAATTGGAATTTATACAGATGCACCGCGCACCGGTGGGGATTCCGTATGTGGTGCGAGTAGCGCAGGAGGCCAACGGAAGGCTGTTGAGAAGAAGCACCATATCAGTTGCTAAGAATTGCAGTATTCTTATATTATATTAGTATAATCTGATTGTGTTATATTGTTGCGAGTACGCAATACTATGGCGATCAGTTACATAAATCGCAAGGGTGGGATCCAAAACCCCAACCTTAACGATCTAAGTAAACCAATTTGGCAATGGTGCGAAAAGCGTAACATAATTTTATATGCATATGTGCATATTATGTAAATACAAAAGATAATCGCGATAAAACCAGACAAAGACACGACAACAAGCAAATAAAAAAATTCGTGAAGTGTGCTGATCCGTTCCGTGGCTTGGTTGGTATAGCGTTTGGCACGGTATGCTAGAAGACGTCGGTTCAAATCCGGCCAGATCGAAGTAATTTTTTCTGAGCGTTCGATCTTTGTATTAATAATTATAACAAACTAGTGGAGTATTTCACAAAAAAAATTGAATAAATTTCAATAAACATTTAAAACATAATAATAATAATTAATGAAATTAGTTGATAGTTCGAGTTTACTTTTGACAGTGACAGCTTCACCAACCCGTGGTAACGTATAATGGAAAACTGACACTGGCGACGATCGCCATGTTGTTTATATTATTCTCATAAAACTGATACTGGCCCAAGCCTAGTGGCCGCCATTAAGAAAAGAATAATTATTTATATTAATATATTAATTTAATAATACACTAGTACCAGTGTAGGTATAGCATGAAAAATGGATTTTTTTTTTATATTAAAAACAGCCACGTGGTTTCTACCTATCGATTAGGTAAGACATCTCTCGTTGAGTAGCGTTAGTTTAAGGTTAATAAGGTTAACAATTCACGGAGCGGTTTCCATCCGCGCCCGCCGGTGCTGCTAGACAGCGGTTTTATTTCAATACTCACGACCCTGCAAGTTTGTGCGGGCACGTAGCCGCCGCGGTTGTGGGCACGAAACCATTGCGGAACCGACCGCAAAGTTAGTGGGAGTTAATCGCCAATCGCGCGTTTAATAGAGAACGCACCCCGCGTGTGCCTGCGCCACATTGCGCCTTAAACGACCGCCAAAGTACGCGGGCGACGACGGCTGCCAAGCGCGCAGGTGATCGCGTCCTGCGCGGTTCTACTAGTACCCCGCCGCGGCAACCGCGAGCAACCGTCACCACTACAGGCGTAAAACGCGTCGTGAAATGTGCTAATAATTTTACATACTTAACTATTACATTCTACAGATGCCGCGGTTCCGCGGCTGACGCAGGTGAAAACCTAAAAAGCTAAAAAGTGGCGACACCGGTACCCGATCTTACACAGCGTCATTACATATCTCCCCTTTTTTTCTATATCTATGCTTGACATCGTCATATCAGAAGTAAAGATTCTGAAACTCCCAAATAAATTTGCTTCTCACACTAAAAGGAATGAGGATAGATAGAATGAGGTTGATGCCTGGTAGGGAATATCAAGTCAAAACATTTTTTTTTTCTAATAACCGTGCGGTGTTGCCTAGCAAGTTAAGGAAACTACCTGGTTAAATATTATATCTTCGAAAGAAGCGACCCACATAATAGTGATATAAGTTCATTTCAAGAAGTTCGTTTGATAATCTATTATAATGTAGGTACTAATATCTGTTCACGAGCGTGCCCGTAGTAAGATCAGCTGTATATTACAGTCACTTTTGTGGCTTTATTTTACAGCTATGCTAGTACCAATAGGTACCCTATACAGTATTAATCACAGAAGAAGAAAAACGATGGAAGTGCCTTAAGCCACTATTACTATCAGAGCCGCTGTCGCCAAAACTCACACATTCATAATTTATGTGAAGCACTATGAAATCTTGACAATGATTGGTCGTAATTTATAATTTAAAAAGAAATAACAAATTATGGACTGTTAATATAATTTAAACTTTGCCTTGCTGGCATATCGTTGAAAGTTGCTATTATTGGAAGTTACGACGTTTTTATTTTACTTTGAAATTTTAATCAATATGCTGCCATCTATAGCGGTCAGTAGCTGAACGACGACAAATTCGAGATATTTACTTAGTTCTCCAAAAAAGCGGTTCGTTTCTTGTAACAAAAAAATTGTTACACTAAACAGAAAATTGAAAATGTCTTAAAATTAAATTATAAAGACTAACGATGATATGAAACGCCATCATAGATAGTATTACAAGTGTGACTATCATTTTTGCTCTCCAAAGTAGCAAAATACACTTTACTTTGTACAGGCACTTTTTATGATAATTGACACGACCATAATATATAAAGCTAAGCAAAGCAAAAAATAAGCAAAAGCAAAGCTGACCGTAGTATGTGGAACTTCGCGTATTGTTGGCACACGTGTCACGCAAACTTAAGCACTTGTAGTGTACCTATTTATTGTTCTGTGATATTAATATTTGTTTAAAAAACGCTATATTAGGTTGACTTTATACCTGGCATATTCCACATCAGCAGACACGTGATATTTAGCTGCAGCATCAAAATCTTCTTCAGTTCTGTTAACAGGCGGCTCTACTCCCTGTAGCGTCTCTCTGAGTCTCCAATAGTGACAGTTATAGTCTTCAGGGGGAGTGGTGCCGCGGAAAACGCCATAACGCCAAAGGTCCAGCGTGTACGCGAATGGAAGGAAGACGATCTTGTCTATGCCCTGAAATGTTCGATAGGTAAAAATATTAGCTGCCGCTTTTATATTATTTGTTAGAAAATATTTGTTGTATTCTGCCCTCCGTATCATAACAACGTATTTGCATTTCGGTAAGTTTCAAGATATTGGCATCTAAAGTTTTATTGTCATCTTAAAAAATGTCAATTATGCTTAACAATAAATCTGAATGAGTGAAATTGAAAAAACCATTAGAGGGTGTTGCAGATCGCGTATCGCTGATCCCAGATATGTCAACAACTCTATTTCGCTAAAAATATCGATAAATTTAGTTATGATAAGGAGTATTACAAGGGTTATGTCATACTTTGACACAACATTAAAATAGGAATATACAATACAAGACAAAAACAGAGATAATGCCATGTGTATAGTATACAATCGTAGAGAAATCATAGAATTCACGGGGTCTTTTAGTAGAGTCAGGGCACCGTTACTCGCTCAAGGCTATGCGATAAGTGCCTACCGTTGATTGCGCCGACGTCGGCACAAGCTCTCATACAAATCTTTCATTTATGAGCATCGGGCTTCGCACGACTGCTGCATGAATGTTCATCTCCCTAAGCGCGTGCTTAGGTTCCTTTGTCCTCGTAGTGAGCGCCTGGTGTCATTAGTCATATTTAGTAGGCTATTAAAACGTAGGTATTTTCGATATTGAACGAGAGTGATGTATCTGTTACGTAGTAATTATTAAGTAATCTGTGGTAGAGTGAATTGCGGACGCAAGTGTGTGTGTATTTGAAATATTACTTTCTTAGCAGCAACAAAATTCATTGGTATGACTGGGTTTAAATAAAATCAGTGTCGCTCTTTTTGTTACTAAATATAGGTACGTATATTGTAAAATACTAGCAACAACAACTTGTTCCATGACTTTAAATAAATAATCACAATTTAGTTTCATACAAAAATGATAACATTGAAGTAGATAAAGGGTGATGATAACTCTAAGCAAAGAGCAAGAGCTCGGATAGGGGTTGACAAGGAGGACGCTTGCACATTTGAACTTATTAACTTAGTATCAAATACAGATCTAAGTGTTAGATAGAGCAACAAAAACTTAGAAGTTTATTTTTGGTAAATTTATTATGTTTTGTAAAAGGTCATGGAATAAAAATTGTTTGATGTTAGTAACGTGGACTACGTTAATAACAACATAAACGAGGTTGTTAGTATTTTACAAATAACCCTGTACATTGAAGTTCTTCACGAGTTTCAAATATAATAGTGTGGTTGTATATTATACATCAATAATGAATCAAGGAATGACGCACCATTTTGTAAAGCTGGTTAATTTCTGTTTGCTCATCTTCAGCGTCGCCGGTGAGAAGTCCAACACGACGTAAGTGTTTGGGAGATGATACGGACAAGGCGATCGTGTCACCGACAGCTTCGTGGAAGCCTAAAAATGAAAATGTAATGGCTCTTTCGACTGGGGATCTATCACATACCTTGAAATGGTAGCAGATAGCAGGTAATGATAGTACCCAGTAGGAGTTTACAGAAAACTTTCAATAAACTTCTAAACTAAATTGTGACCAACACAATTTTGACAATCCAGTAGGACTAGCATAATAGGGCGCGACTTGCGCTAGAGCGACATAAAGCGCGAGATACTGCTATTCTTGCATAGCGATTCCGCGCAAGTCGCGCCCTATCGCGCTAGCCCTACTGAAATTGATATGAATAAAAAATATATGGTTTTAATCTACAATTCAGCAACTAAAATCAAGCCATTTTATTTAAAAAAATATGTTCAAATCGCATTTTTTTAAATACAAATGCTGTCAGTTAAGAACATAAAACCGAAAAAAGAAAATGCATCAGTTATTTTAAATTGTTACTATGACTTTATATGATATAGCAAAATATGAAACCTCTATGATTTTTTTAACTTCAAGTTATTTTAAGAAGAAGTACTTGTTACGATAACTGGCACTGTGGTCCCAAATATCAGAGAATAAAGCTTGATAAAAGGAAAAAAGAAAAGCTCAAATGTACCAATTAAAAATATAATTAAATAAAATTAATCACACGGTCATGGAAATAATCCGATATAGCATTGGATTAATTAAGTTTAAGATCAGAAAGGCACCACTTGAAATTGCGACGCATTGCATGAAATAAAATGAATTAGTAAATAATTACGTAATGGTTTGTTAGTGCATATTAAAGTCATACTTACATACTGTGTCAATGTTTACCGTGAATGAAATGTCTAGTAATTCTACTATCTACGCCTGAATACCAACAAATTGAACCACCACCACATGTATGACTTGCTTCTAAGGTTTAATCTATATATAAATGTATTTTTATCGTGTTTAATAATTTACGATAATTATGTTAGTCGCCCGAAATAAATTACGACAAGATGACACCGTAGAATATTTCAAGTCACCTGGATTGGCACCCTCACGAAAAATTTGGGGCTGATCTCTGTATTGCAAATAATATTGCACATGACCCATTTCATGGTGGACTACCCTCAGTTGCTCTTTGTTCACGACCGTGCACATCTTGATCCTTAAAAGTATAAAAAGTTGAAAATTCAAGTAAAAGGTTTCGTTTACCTGGATTTGCTCCATCTCTGAATATAACAGGCTGATCACGGTACTGCAGGAAGTACTGAATGTGTCCCATTTCATGGTGAGTCGTTTGAAAATATTCGTAGTCAACAGTTGTACACTGTTTGATCCTTTACAGTTAACCCAACATGCAAAGAAAAATTTTGAATGAAACTCCAAAAGGTCAAAACTTTGTAAGGCGTAACTGTTATGAAACACGTACCGTTTGTTAGCTCTGTAATCTAATAAAATAAATGACAAATGCAGAACTGTCGTGCTACAACGAAAATTAATGTTATCATCATCATCAACCCTTTTACGCGTTACACTGCAGGGCATGGGTCTCCTTTCAGGCGAGGGTTTAGGCCATTCCGCTACGCTGGCCCAATGCGGGTTGGGAACTTCACACGTTTTCCGTGGGTTGTGAACCTTCTTCGAAGTGCAAGTTTCGATGTTTTCCTACACCGAAAAGCTAATATCCCGAATCCAGCTTCGAACCCACGGCCTCTGCTTGAGAGGCGGTAGGTCAAACCATTTGGCTACCACCATAGATATCTATATCTATGGCTATCACGGCGTAGTGAAAATTAATTTGATTAAAAAAATAGTATTCTGTCTAAACAACTATGTTGGAACTCGGACTTACCTAAAATCTTTCCCGTCGTAAAAGTCCCAAGCAGAAGCGTGACATACAATTTCTCTATCGTCTGGCTTTACGATGATCGAATTTTTCCAAAACAATTCTGGCATTGCGGTCAAGTTTAGCGACTTAAAGAACTCATCTGACATCTGGAACATCTTCAACGGCGTATACTTTTGGTCTTGCATTGCTTGGGTGATGTCGATTTCTTTCTTGTCCGGATAAGGTCGGGTGAACGATTCAATATTGTTCCAAGTTTGCGCCCACATGTTACCTGTATAATTTTAGCAACACTTTTGTAGCGAAGGTCAACAAAAGATATTATATCAAGAAAGGGTAATATCGATAACCATTGCAATATTCTTAGACCAGATCAGAAGTACAGATGGGCAACTTACCCAAGAGATGAGCAGGAATGGGTCCTCTAGCCGATACTACTGAATCTCCATACTTGTCTCTCAAGCGTTTTCTGACGTAAGCATGCATTTGCTGGTATAAGGGCTTTAATTCCTCCCATAATTTGGCTAACTGCTCTTCAAAGTCTGATACTTCATAATCAGACTGCCACCAATCCGCGACGTTTTTGTAATCTGTAATATTGCGATAAATATTTGACACAAGTTTTACAGCCCGATGAAAACTGATTAATCTAACCATAAGTCAATGAATCTAACAGTAAAAAGCAAGCCTTCTTCCTTTTTAGCCCAATTTACTTGTAGAAGCACGTATGTAGGAGGCAAATATTACAGCTGTATACACGTAAAAAAAGAAATGAAAGTGACTTAAGCTATTATTATCAGAACCGCTGTTGCCAAAACTCTCACTTACATAATGTTAAAACATTACGAAATCTTGATAATAATTGGTCGTAGTTTTTAATTTAAAAATATATAACAAATTCTGGACTGTTAATACATAATCGAAATTTTACCCAGTTAGCATAGCGTAGAAGCTTGCTGCTATATATTGCTACCTGTTATTGCAAGTTACGACGTTTTGATTTTATAATTGAAATTTAATTAAAATAAGGGCTTAATCAGACGGAACTCCGCGTACTGTTGGTACATGTATCACGCCCACTAAGCACTTCTACTGTATTTATTGTTGTGTGGTTGTATAAATGTTATTGTTAGTTATTAAATTATAGAAACCATTATAAAATGGCTGTAAAAAAGATTCAAAACTAGTTTAAATTTATAGATTTACGAAGAACCAGTTTTTAATTGGACACTTTAGGCACCAAGTAGTGGTTTAGAAAGTTACTTACCATTCAATTTGGCTGCCTCGTTCTCTATCTGCACGTATGTTGTAAAGTTATCCCGAACTTTGGCACCTGCTGCTTTGTGCCATTCTACCCAGTAGTGCTTCAACTCTTCTGGGTTCTGACTTTTTGTAAATATATCCGTGATGTCTGTAATGCACATTTTCATTCATAAGCAAACAACTTACTACAGAAGACACGTTCTTTTGTACTAGTATATGTAAGAATGCAATTGAATTGAAATTGGTAATGACAATGAGGCTTTATGTGTTACCATTGAATAATATTTATTTATAGAAAACCAACGGCTTAATATAAATAATGCCCTACAACACTGCCACACTTTTCTGTAATGATATTAAACAGTTTTATAACGTTTTAAATTTGGATGATGCAATCAAGAGTATATCAAACTTGATACTTTGAGTCAAACTGGAATAATCTTTATTTCATACACTAGAAATCGTCACATTAATTAAACATTGCTACTTATTCGTAAGGCAGATTCCTCTGAGAAGAATGAGTAAAAAACTGTAGTGGCTGCCCTTTGTAAATAATAAACATTTGTATACATTTATCATTTACAGTATATATTTCAAACATCTTAGATCGAGACTACCTGCAGGAGTTAAACGGGTCATTACCCCGGTTTTTTGTCATTCAAGTACGTGGAAGCTGTATAATAATAACCTTTAGTATAAAGTTTCTGTTTCACAACAGTTTTTAACCTCGTAGATGCAAATTTTGAGTATCAACCGAAATATTATGATAGAAGCGTATACATTGCCCCATAAATGAAATAATTTTTTATAGTTAGCGGCATAGTTTAACTCTTAACTGTCAAACTTGACCTGCTCTTGACCCTAAACTACATGTCTAAAATAACTAAATAGCGACAAGGCGTTTAAGTAGAATTTAAGTCTAAGTAGGTTTTTCATATAAAATCTTCGAACCTTGTCATATCGTCGCGCACCAATAACCGTTGATAATTTGGGTAATTTTAAAGCAGGTTCAACTTTTTTAGCAATCTTACCAGGTTCCAAAGCGAGGTCGCATTTTGTGGCATTGGTAAATGAGCAGACCTTCGCAGTGGCATAATTTGATTCCATATCCGACACCGACTTCATCAACAACTTATATTTATCATCTGGGAGAATGGATACTCCTAGCATTGTGTACTTCTTGAACATCCTTCGCAGTGTATAATCTTGGAAGTCTTGCCAGTGATACATCTTTGTCTCCTCCCATGCTTTCTTCTCTTCCTTTGATACTTCTAATTGAATTTGTAACTGTAATTACAAAAGTGTCAAATTAGCGTATTGTCACTTAAGAATCTACTAAAAACAACTTGTCTTGTTGTTAAAATTATTTTACAATAGGTTATATAATTGTAAGAAATTAGACTATTTGAAGTTAGTTTTATTTATAATTTCTTAATTATTATAAAATATGTTTTATTTGTTAATTTGGCATAAGGTTCACTCAGGTACTGATGTTTCCTTTTACTTAATAGGGCATGTGTTAGGAGACATCGCTCTTCTGTGTATATATATAGTTATAATTTGCTTTTAATTTGAATATAAGTTCTTTACCATAATTTATAACATTATCTTTTTTAGTTAGTATAATAGTAAAAGTTTCCTTATTTTTTACACCGTATTACACATCATCGTTGTCATAGATATTTCATTTGAATTACGTCGGTGAGAAATCTGGTGAAGTGATGGCAACGATTGAACGATAACAAACTACACTGGGCACAATGTTGATTCCATACTGAAGTGCAGCACAATATCTTATTTTTCTTTTGTCAGAGTTGGTGACCATACATATCTCACATCAGATCGATATGTAAAATTTGGACTTTTTTCAGGATACTTCGAATTGTATTTCATATGCTTGTTTCAAATTTCATGCATATCAGTTGAAGTACGGCCAAATAATTCCAATCGTATATTGTGCAACTTGAGTGGATGCCAAGAAAGTTTTGATAAAAACCTACAGAATTTTAATGCTACTTCAAACCTATCAAGTATATTGAAACAAACGTGAGTCGACTAAATGTCTTAATCTGATCCTGATACCTATTTCTTAGTGTAGTGTACGCGGATTGTTTATGATTTGCCTCGAGCGTACACGTCACACGATGCAGCTGTACACGGGGCTGTCTATATACGACAGTCAGACAAACCAGTAGACGAACCAAATACCAATACGCTATCACTTGTAGAAACGGATATAACACTTAGATACTGGATTGTGATATTAGGATTCAGCACTCTTTAGACATTATTCTTCATTTCGTGGGATTGAGCTCGCACCTCTGACTTTTTCGGAATTTATGTGCGAAATTTAATTTCAAAGCTACCGCATTGGACCAGTGTGGCAGAATATGGTCTAGAGACTCACCGAGACTCACAGAGACCCGTGCCGAGCAGTGGGACGTATAAATGGGTTGATGATGATGATAAAGATAACTATATTTGATATTTATAGCGTAGCTATTGTTAATTACCTTTTTCTCTTCATTCTCCGTGGTAAGATTCGAGGTGTAAGCCCATTCAGCGAGACTAGCCCTGTTTTTCCTGAGGCCAGCCGCTTTGTCGTTTTCTAAGATGTATTGCTTCCCCTCTTGTTCTAAAGCTTCAAGGTCAGGGTCGCGACCTTGTGTGGCGACCACAAACACGGCGACGATCGCCGCCACCAACGCGGCTCCGCCACCGATTTTTAACATTGTCTGAAAGAACAGAAATAAAGAATTTCAGTCTTTATAAATGTGGAAAAGGGCCTTTTCAAGGCGACTGTAAACATGCATTATAAAGGGATGCTTGCTCTATTAACGACCTCATCATCACTTTCCATCAAGAGAGATGGAGGTCATATGCCCTCTTATTTTATCAATAAAAGCATAATTTCAAAATTTTCGTTCACACTAGATACTTTAAGGTAGGTAAATAATTGAACCGAAAGATATGGAACAGAACGAACCGTACTTGAATGTAGAATTAGAATTTCTTTGTCCACACTTTTAAGCTTGTCATACAAGTTAAATCGACTTTTACTAATGATGTGTCCATTTTTACAGTTACCTCCAGTTTTAAGTTAAGATAGTATTTTTCTAAATTGGTATAAAATATGTTGTATTTTTGTATCAAATAATGTATATTTTGACATTTCTTCAATATGAGGAATATTCATTGTGGAACTACATTGCGAATAATGTTGTAACAAATGTCATGATGTTCTTAAGTTAAATAATAGAACAAACCTTAATAAAATTAAAAGTAATAAAATTATGAACTTAACAAATACAATACAATTCAAATACTCAAAATAGTACGAAAACTACAATTTATCGGAAACTTAACATCACGTCAAATTGACTTTGAATCGCTTGACATATTATTTAATGTTCATAGATAAAAAGAATGTATTCAAAACTTAGAGGAATCAAAATCTACTTAATGTCCAAATAATGATTTGGACATTAAGTAGATTTTGAAGGTTGTCTAGTAGCAGTAGACAACCTTGTAAAAGAGTTCGTTCAGGGAAGTTTCGGTTTTGAATAAAAGTGCTGGTGAAATTACAGGCACATGGGATTTTTCACCTTATGTCTCAGAGTGACGGGCGCAGTGGCAAAGTTTTCGCGATTTAAAGCTCTAGGTGGCACTGCAACTGTAATGGATGCATATCCATTGCGTCTGCGTTCACTTGGTATTATAAAAAGAATGTCATAATACTCTCATTACAGAGACCTAAAAACATCAACCTCAAAAGTCTTTCCTTCCCTAGTTTGTCACCCTTAGAGGTGAAATATTTTCTTCAAATTTAAATGGAACCACTTCTGAGGTACACTCTTTCCACCAAAAAATAATCATTAAAATCGGTTCACAAATGCCGTAGTCATGGCGAAACATACATAAAAAAATATACAGTAGAATTGAGAACCTCCTCCTTTCTTTGAAGTCGGTTAAAAATAGTATGAATTACATGAAAGAAATATGTATAAATGTATATGAGTTTATACAATTGTCTTTGTCAATTGTTAAGCTTGAAACGTTAACGGCTAAGTTCGTTCGTAGAATCTCTTAACCTCTCTCCTGAAAAATTGTCATTTTGCAGATGTGACCTTATTACAACGAGGATGTGAAATTTTGTGTTAAAATAAAAGCTCTTTAAATGTGTATAATTATCATCTAACAATTAACAAGGCAAATGTAATGACGAATTTTCATTCAATTGCGCCCCAAAATTGATTTTTGTTTTCGCTCGTATACTCGAGATACGTTTAATAATAGGGGCCCCGAATCCTATGCGAGCTATTCAACTATTTAACTGTAAAAGAGCATCAGCCTTATTATGAGGACTCTAACCTCTACTTACTACTACTAGACCCATAAAACTAATTTACATTTTTAATGGGCCGAGATCTTGAGTCGTTTTATGTTAAAATCGATATTACTTCCATTTTTAAAAAGCTATCCTTTGTACGAGGTAACTAATTATGATTATGTAGAACAATATACGATATTTACTCGGGGATTTGGGAGGTAGGTTAATACCTACCTTGGATAATTCCAACCTTTATATGTTACTTCTTTGAAATTTGGATAAATATTTTTGGCTTTTTTTCGATCTCTGCTAATTACGTAATCTGCCTTCCGAAGAAAGAAAGGCACAAACAGCAAATTCAGAATTCGGAAATATACTAAAAGATTTTTTGGTTTTATTGTTTTATATAAAAAATAGTTAAAGTATATTTTTGATATGATATTCGCATTTATCTTATATATTCATTTCATTGTATTATAATTAGACATTTAAAAATTATAATACATACATATTAAAAACATATTATAATCTACCTAACTTAAACGTAACTTAATACTTGACTAATAATAGAATTAAAGGTCACAATTGTAGTCAGTTGTGTCTTTTTTAACTACATGATAAGGGCAAAGTTCCGTACATTTATTTACAATTGAAATCCTTTGAGAAACTTAATAAACGTCAAATGTGACTCTAAAAGTGGTTTTCCACCGGCGGGGCGAGACGATGATTGAAATTTATATGACAAAATTTCAAATTCAACATTTCAATTTTCTGCTCGCGTATCTTCGGTGGAACAGGTTTGGATTGCGGAGGATTATCCAGGCGAGGATTGAAATGTTTTATTATTGTCTTTCTGCCTACATATAACACTATACTGTTATACTTTTAACGGAAACACGATTTCTCGCCCGATTTCTCACGAGCTCGCGCGATTTCGCGTTCGCGAAGACTATTAACATCAATCGCGAGATTTTATTTAAAAAAAATTAACAATTTTTATGTAGTTAAATATGATATTTTCATTGATCATAATCATAAATCATGTTTTGCGATAATAATTCAAAATTAATGTTCATGTTAAAAAAAGCCATATAACAACGTAAGTACCTAATAAAGTTCTATACTTAAACAAATAAACAATAGGTAGGTATATGTAATTAGGTATGTACTCAATGTATTGCCATTTACAATCATCATAAAGTATAGTTTAATATTCGAGTGTGGTGACCTGAAATATTCTTTAATATTTCACGATGGTATGTTCGGGTAATTAAATAATAAAAATTGTCCCCAAAATTGAATACAAAAAACTTACCTGAAAATTACTGAACGAAATATTAAGTTATGCGTACATGTTATAGGCAATGTTTGGAATCCGGTATTCTACACAATACCTATGTATTTTGTACAATGCCTAAAACAGTCAGGCAATGCATGAAATAAACTCCATTATGGTCTGGGTATTCTATACAATGCCGTACGTGCGTAAGGCAATGTATAAAATTTGTTAAATGTGGTCGTACGGAAGTGAGGGTGTGTTAAGAAGAATATTTATGCACGTCCAAGTATCACAATATTTCATCTAGTAATAAGTAGGTAATAAGAAGAATTGGCAATTAAATTACAAATGATATTTGTTTATGAAAGATAATTCAGAAAAGTATAATAATATAGTAGCAACGAAAATGATACACTAAACGCCCGCTACAGAAATCAAACTTACTAACTAAGTACTGTTTAATGGACCAAGCAAAGCTATAGTTTTGTACACAGAACTATAACGAATTTAAAAAAGATGACGTGGTATTTTGGATAATTAAAAGAGTCTCCTTAAACGCGTCACATCAATCACGTCAAATTATTAAAATTAAAATTATTTTATTCATTAATATTTCAAAATATCACATAACGGGTAAAAAGGAGTAACCATTTGGCAAAAAAGAACTATTTAGAATGACAGAGGCATTTGGTATGTTAATCATTCGACTCGAGTCGAGTGATTGTTTTTGGATTCGACTTAGGCAAATAAGTTGCCCATTCGAATAATTACTGTTAGTAACATACAAAGCCGCGCTTGCTTGGTATCAAGTACTCTTGTAAAATTTTAACTCGTCTAAAGTTGACTGTCTACAACATCTAAATTCGTTGAACTTTAAATTGATCATAAATCTTTATTTGGTTAAAATGTTTTTTTTATTATTATATTTTTTGCCGTTTACTCTTCTATTTAAAAATTTATCGAGGACCGCGCCCTAAAGCATCGTGCTTAAGCCACGATACAACCTCAAATGGCTTTGGTTGATTCCGCGTAACAGTGGAAGCGTTGAATTGGAAATAAAATCAGTACAGAGTACTAAAAAACCAACCTCAAAAGTCATTCATTCCGTAGTTTGCCACCCTTAGAGGTGGAATATTTTCTTTGAGTTTAAATGGGACCACATCTGAGGTACCCTCTTTCGAACAACAAAAGAATCGAGTTCTTGGGTTTTCGCAATTGTTACAGATAGGAAATGAAACTATTTTTCCGAATTTAAACGCGTATATTCGTTTTTTTCAAACAAACCGACGTTTCGGGCCCTTTACAGGTCCCATGGTCACGGTTTAAGGCTTTCAATATTTACCATTGCCGTAACTAATTATTTGGCTGTAGTAGTTTTCGTTACTCGTGTGGTAGTAGCTTTTCTCAATGTTAAGTAGGAGTCAAAGGAGATGTTATGGTGCTCATGGATATAATAAAAATAAATAATAATAATGTGGCAAACAACCACAGCAATTATCTGGTCTCAAACTAGGGAATCACCTGAACTAGGAATACCAGAGCAACGAAATTCTCTTCGGAACCCAGTACCCCCATATCAGAACCAATTTAAAAAAGTTGATTTCCCAAGTTGGTCTTACCAGGAATCGAAACCGGTACCGGAATCGAACCTCATCCGCATCCCATGCACACCAGTGCAAACATTGGGCCACAGAGGTAGGAATCTGCAACATCAGAGGCAGCCTATGCATTCTAAGACTTTGAGAGCCTAGTTGACTCGTTTTCTGAAGAACGCCATATTATAGCCTAGAACTAATACTTCAAGATGGAAACCTTTCCACAACTTGCAAGTTTCCAGTGTTTTGGTTCCTTGAGACTTCAACGTAGCGAACGAAAAGTTTAGATAGGGTTTTGATTACAAAAGGTACAAAGCTGTAGCTCTGGTTAAGTTGTAGTCTGTTCTGCCTTCCCAGAACACCCAGACCAGAATCAGTTTCAAAAACTTCATCTGCTAATTTGGTCCTACCAGAAAACGAACCCGGAATCTCCTTATCCAGCGCCCACAGTATAAACCACCGATCGTCAATTGAAAATATGATGGCATAATTCGGTGAAGTTTTTTAAGCCAGTTTTAACCATACTATGTA